CCGTCAGCAGACCGCACATATAAAATTAAGATTTGGCGGGGTTGGTGGCATCCAGGACAACCTTCTCACCTCGGAACTCCCGTCCTCTTGCCCTGTATAGCATGCCTTTCGATCCGCCGTTTCGTCAGCGCATTTCTTTCTCCAAGAGGATGTTTATCACTGGTTCAAAAAAAATCAAGATAGGCCTATTGATCGACGACTCGCATAAGGTGACCACAGCGATCGACAAACGAACAAACAAACGAAAAACGGAAGAAGTAATTTTTTTCGATCAAGAATTTGTCATAAACAAGTCGGCCCTGATAATCGGCAACCTCATAATTATTTCAGTTAGCCACACATGGCGTTATATCAGCGAATAATGCTACCCTGCGAGTCGGGTAGTTCCCTTAGATCGCACTAACCATTCCACGTCAGACCGCAGCTTCCCCATAACTTCAGATCTGCCTTGGTGTACTTTGATCATCCGATTATATCCAGTACTCCACGCGCTCCATGCAGTCTCCAAATAACTCCCCATTGGCTTTGAAAAAAAAAAAACACTGGACTAGTATAGAGGCTTGCCGAGTTGATCAACTGCGCAAAACCCAGATCACCTGCGATCCCCAGCCAGCCAACGCAACAAACAATGAGTGTACGGTTTGTTGACATAAGGCTCACTGGACACAAAAAATTCCACCGAGCGGGAAGTCGGCCTGGCAGTGAATTCCATACACACAAAGAAGAGCAATAAATGTAAAAGAAAAATTGTCAAAAAGACCAAAAATACATAAATAAAAAGCAAACAAACAAACAAACACCCCAACAAACAAACAAAAAACCCGAACACCAAGCCGTCGGGTTAATGGACACCATTGTTTTTAAATAGTTCTTCCAAGGTTTCAACTAGAAGATTCAATTCACAAGAACATGTTCCAAGGGCCAAAATGTTCCTTCTTAAATGTTACGATGTTCACCCTTCGTTCTAAAAGTAACCCATTTTCCCGTTCGGGACGTGTCTCAAAAAACTGCTTTGGCCTACAGAGGTTTGAAGCGCCGACGCTTTCAATTTTGTTAGGGGAAATATTAAACTTGCCAAAATTTCTCCTACTTGTGTACACGTTTGCCAAACAAACTCCTCAAATCAGTGAGTTCAATAACAGAATTTGACAAAACATTCCGCCAATTTCAACAACGTCACGTGACACTGTTATGCAGGTTCCATTCACCGACTATTCGCGCATGAAAGCGCGAGCCGTCTCTCTGGTATGCAGGTACATATTTTAAATGCCGCCTGCAAGGTATGTCGCTGATATTCAGCAGCGATAGTACTGTAGCAGGAAACCCCATGAATGAAGAAGGACCCCGTAGAAAGCTTGGGGTTTAACCACAGTTGAGCACTGACTTCTATGCTGATGACTTGCTGAAAGTATAAAGGTTTGGAAATTGGATTACAAAACAGTTCTGCTCTTCAATATGCAAATTCATATAGGCCTAAGCATACCCCCAAACTCCAAACCCAAATAAATGCAGATAAAAATTGCACAACAAAAGTTTAAAAAGAGGTTAATTGATACACAGTGGTGCAATTTCAAGATTTTAGCAAAATATTTCAATCAGCATGGTCCCCGGTCCCCTCATCCAACAGGCCTGCTGATAGTCTGTCTTAGGCGCTTCTCGATTTTTTCCTCTGAGCTCTTGACAGCACACGTAAAGCAACAGGTCCATTACATCTTCCCCAGGATGCACCTCGTTGAAAACTCTGGTGCGACGTGTTCAAAACCTGAAATTGATCTCAGATTTCATTATGGCAGCACGTAGCGTAAAAGCTGACGGTGACAACGCTATCCTGTGTGTCGGGGAGTCACGGTTACGTACTCTCAACAACATATCACGGCAGATCGCACATTCAATAACACAAAACTTAGGTGTGGTTGGTGGGACAAGCCTGCCACCTCTGAACCGTTGTCCTCATGCCTTGTGTACCTCTACCATTTCGTTGAGCATTCTTTCTCCAACAGGTTTTTAAATAAAACGCTGGTCTTGGGCACTCACCCAGCTGAACAGCTGATCACTGATGTACAGATCATGATCTTAATGGACTACTATCATGACTACAGAGGAATCGACACGTACAAAACAGTACCGTGAATATATGTACACAGATTTGTAGCGCTAACACTTTCCACCTATAGCAAGAAGAACGCCATCCGATCAATGGCAAAAGCCTCAAAGAAACGGCCTTTTTCCCGACCACTACTACTCTTTCCACAAACAAGTCGGCCCTCAACCCGTCTTAGTTTCATTAACATTTCACTTGGTGGTAGTTCGTTTAGGTCCTACCAAACTGAGATTCCATGGCCGACCGAAATTTCCCCATAAGTTCAGGCCTTTCCCCGTGTCTTCGCTTGTCCGATTACATACGCCGTTCCGATATTAACTCCCAAATAGCCACTGAACAAAAAACATCAGACTTGGAGACACGCCCAGTTGATTAACCGTTGTACAACGCTGGATCATAGTGTACATGTAGATCGATTAGAAAATATTGCAACGTGAATATAGAGGTTCAAAGTGCTACCGCTTTCAAGTTTCAACTTAGCAAAAAGGGCGCCATCCGAGTGGCAAAGCCTCCTCTAATGAATAGACTTTTTCGATGAATAATTTTTCAGAAACAAGTCAACCCTGAACTCGATCTCACGTTTCACTTGGTCACACATCGCACAATAACAGCGAGTAATCTTTCCCTGCGAGTCGGGTAGTTCCCCCAGATCATTCTAACCCGCCCCGTCAGACCGCAGTTTCCTCCTGACTTCAGATCTGCCTCGGTGCACTTCGCTCACCATTTACACGTGAATACTCCCCATGGTCTCTGAACAAAACATTGGACTTCGAGGCTTGCCAAGTGGATCAACCACCCTTGTATAACGCAGGATCGAGAGACCGATAAACACAGGATCAAGAGACCGATAACTGTATACAATTTAAACGATCACTGAGCGGTACCGTCAACAAAGGAAGGGGAAAACCGTAGGCTAGTTTGGGCAGATTTTAATTTCGGTGTGCCGTTTTGTTGACAAAAGGCTGGTTCGACACACGCAGAACTTCAGCGAGCGGGGAGTTCCCTTTTATTAGGTTTCACAGACAAGCAAGTGCGTGTTTAGTGTAAAACCCCTCCCGGTACCGTCGGATTAAAGGACACAACTTTTTTCGATTTTTTTGGCAAATTTAATTAGAAGATTCGATTTATGAAAACAAATTCCAAGTTTGGATTTTTCATGTTTGTATTTTATCCTGGCCCTTCCCTCTAAAAGTAACCCCTTTTACCTGAAGAAAGTATCTCAAATAATGGCTTGGATGCTTAGTGGGATAAGAAGTGCCGCCGCTTTCAATTTCAAGTTTGCGAGGGGAAAACGTGGAATTGCTAAACTTTCACTAATTACATATGCAGAATGCGTGCCAAACAAAATCTTTAAAAACGGTGACCAGGGGCGTAAGGGCCGGGGGTGTGGGTGTAGTGCGACACCTCACCAATAATTTATTAACAGATTAAATTCAGTTGGCAAATAGAGCGAGGATTGGCAAATAAATATAAAGTTAGCACATAAACGTTGACCGTCGGTATTTCCCCTGAAGGATGCAGGATTTCCATTTTACATGCCATGACACGAGGTCGGCGAATAAGTTACGACTCAGCAAATTGACTCGGACACCCCCTCCCCCAGAAAATGCCTTCGCTACGCCACTGGGACCACATCAAAATTGCTGGGTAGAGACATCAGGAAGATCAGAAACCTACTCGTTCTCTCCCATAATTTGACCCCGTTGATAGCACGTACGTGTACTTACAAAACTGATGACTTTACGTTGGAATGTAGGTCACATTGCTGTCACATGCCTTGCACGCTGTACGAGTAATACAGGTTGCCGTTGACACACTAAGCTTGGATTTTGACGTAATGACATGCTTTCCGCAGACGTATTATCTCTGCAGTACTCATCGAGGTCAATAATAAAATCCGACAAAACATCTCGCCCAACTCAACAACATTGACACAGTGATGCGTGTCGTATGACATTCGCCGACTAACGTGCCTGACGGTATACATTTTAATTACCAGGTCCCTTCCATTCGCCACTTACTGTGAGAACAATAGGATGGAACAACAGGTGACGAAATAAGGGAACTAGCGACTATTATTATGTATACCGTCACGGACGTTCGGATTATTTGCGCATAAAAGCGCCGTCAACATCACCATATAAAGTATACATGCCGAACTTGATTTATTGGGCACAGTGACTGTGTTTTATACTCCCTTGAGGCGATGATTCCAAGTTCAAGGTACCTTTTCCCAGGGTGCCGGTCATGTGCAAGTGCTGCACCGACAATACGGCCGTTTCAAAATTGTGCGCCACCAAGAGTTTGCAACGCGTTGGCCAATCACAATGCGCGAAAGTTGTCGACCCAATGCGCGTTTAGAAAGGGCAAGCAGTGCGGGGACCCCCCATGAATAAATAACGACCTTTGAAATGAAAGCTTCGGGATGAGCCATGGTTTGATTAATAGCACTATTCTTCCACGTTTACTCAAGTCAGCTCCTCCCAAAGGCTTAATAAATTAACGTCTTCAGGGCTCAAGGTCACACACACCAGTGGTTGAACTTCACAATTAATCCACCCCAAGCTGAAGCGTACCCCCAATACGGACGTTTCACAATAGTGCGCCTCCAAGAGTTTGAAACGCGTTGGCCAATCACTATGCGTGAAATCTGTCGGCCCAATGCGCGTTTGGAAAGGGTCGACAGATTTCGTGCGTTGCGATTGGCCAGCGCCATTGCAAACTCTTGGAGGTGCACTATTGTGAATCGCCAGTATCGGCGAAAGAAAGACGTGGTTACAAGCGGGTTCTTGTACGCGTTCTGTGCGCGTACACGTTCGTTTAGTTAAATGTACTCAACGTGCTCTGTGTCAAACGCGCATATAATTTCGCGCCTTAAGGCGCGCCTATGCGGTGAGTACCAAATAAGCCCTCTTTTGTTCCGCTCGGAGCGGATAGATTTAATAAATATTCCTGACTCAACTTTGTAAGACCCTGATTTGCAAACCACACTGCTGTAGGGGCTAATAACAGGGCCCAAAAGTTGACCCTGATGGCGTGCTTCCGGAACCCTTGGATAGGAAAAATAACGTGCAGGAATTTTTTGTAATTTTTTTCATTCAGTTACTTCTTAAAACTCTACACTTGAAAAGACCTTTTGTAATATATTTGCTAGCAAATCAATTTATGGAAACTGAAAAATGACCTGACCTAAAAGAGAAATATCCTGTCAAAAATTGACCCATCACTTCCGAAAAACCAAAATACATGAAGAACATCCAGTGGTCTCGTACGCAGACGAACAATTACGGAAATACAGTTTATGATAGTCTTCGATAAAAGCCAAACTAAAAACAGATCAAAAGATTTTTTAAGGATTTTGAAATTTATAGGGATATAAACTTAAAGCAATAACGTGCTTCTACGAAAGATTCCAATGTATAATCTAACCTTTGCTGACGAGAACTCCGTCACGTCAAACTCAACAGAATCTGGAAACCCATCGACTGCAGGTAGGTAAATCTTTGAAACAACGTACAATCTCGTTTCCACGACACGGAAGTGAACACAAACGTGCATGAACAAGGAGACCAAGGAACAATACTCCCGGAAGTGAAAGGTCGTTAATGAAATCCATTTTTTACCCTTCTGCAGGTGACCTTTCCTAAATATTACTTGAGGAGGACAAAGGGAAAATTCCGACATAAGTGCTTCCTGGGGTGGTTTCAGTTAGAAATTATACTTCAAAAAATTATCGGATATGACAGGACAGCCCATGTAAAATCCCCATAGGCAGACCCCGCGAGGGTTCCGGAAGCTTGCTGCGGTACCTTTTATTTTCAGGCTCTATAGCAACGTGCTTGTTGCATGATCACATTGTAAATAATTATGGTACGTTTAAACAACGCTCTCGAAGGGACATTTTCCGTAGCCCCAGGTCTGTAACCACTGTAAACACACCCAATTTTCATGGATGCCTTAGTATCGTAGACGGCTATCGATCACCATTTATGTCGAGAAACTGTTGAGCCTCGGTCAATGCATCGAACATAGTAGCTTGGCCACCGACGCGTAACTGGGGAGTTCCCCTGCGGCCTTAATTGCCTCATTAAGAAGGCAAGCGGCGAGCTGTAGGCCTATGTATTTGCGAGAGCTTTTTGGAAAACCCAGTCACCTCGGTACTGTGTACGAACTCAGTACAATCATACATTTTCAAAATTTTGAACTTAATCATCTCATATTTCAGGTTCAATGTTTACTACCCAAAGTAAATTACCCCCCAAAACAGTCATGCGGCCCACTGCCATTTTGATAATAAGACGCCTACACTCCACTGCAAACGACAGCGATTTGGAGGGCCCCTTTTGTCCGATACTTTCAGAAAACAAGCTGGCGGTCCTGCTGATCATCATCTCCCTTCTTTACAAACCATCCAGTCCACGTGCCACAAAACAGAATTTGACAGCTACAAATCGTGATTCCGTCCGCGCAGGCCATTGGGCCGAAACTGGCCTGCAACTACAGACCTTTCCTCAGTAGTACACACACCGACTGCCATCCAAAGCTTAAAGAAAATTCAGTCTCGGTTGGCGATAGTTTCTGCCCAGAATGCACATTTTGCATTTATCAGTACGGGGCCAGCATTTCCATTTGGAAATTAACACAGCATTTAGTGTCGGACCCTTCAGTAATTATTCTTTTGGATTTGTACTCGCGGCCCGCCATAGTTTTGTCAATCTAATGCACTGAAGAAAAAAAAACCGCTTGTGGCGCAGTATGAGAGGTATATACAACCACGTCTGTGACACCCAGGCAGCCACGGTGCAAGCTGAAAACATTTCCAGATGTAACGTGTGAGGGATTTCCCGGGTTCTTTCTAAATGATGCAATCTGCGCGGCCACTTTTGGGCAGGAGTCGGTTTGTTCGGAGCGCAGAATCTTACCGATGTATCCTTTCCTAATCGTTGCAACACAGGCTGGAGTTCCCTTGTCAAGAATTTTGACGAAATGCATGTAGTAACAGACGGAACGGTCTTTTGCGTTTGTCAGTATTACCCGCCAATGGTCACTTTCATGTTAATTTTTTCTTTAGTGAAAAAGCTTACCCCCTTTTCGTTACGGTAAGTATAATCATGCACTTTACGAAATAAACTTAAAAAAAAATAAAAACAAGAAGGGCGATGTAATCTAGGTTCACGAATGAATTTTCCAGTAAAGCTTGTTTGGAATTTTGCTTGTTTACAATTTAGAGTCAGCGGCCTGCTAAATCTAATTCAATCATGTTTTGCCTTCTTTTCCTTCTCATTACGAGACATGTCATGTATCAGACGAAATTTTAGACTGAAACATCTTGGCCCAAGTCTCAAACCCTTGGTCTCCAGTGTCAAAGGCTTTGCTTTAACGCAACACTGCTTGAACTTTGTTTCGTTTTCTAATAACAATGCCACTTTATCTCTTAGGGTGACAGAGTGCGCCGCACATGCAAGATGACAACAGAACATTGTACCTCGATATTTGGTCACACCATGGAGAAATTTCTCCATGGTCACACATTGCTCGTCGATGATTGCATTGAAGAGCAAGCGAACTCCCGGATGCCAGCCACCCATCAATGTACAGAGATAAACAACTTGCCAATATCATGGTCTCCCCCCCGTGTGAACACGATACCTTTATCCGCTGGAGTTTAAAGGGTCAAAGGAGAGCAAACAAACCACACAAATATCCGTCTAACCTCGAGGCCTCTTGAACGGATAGGGATTTTCACTGGAATACGACTCAAGGAGCAGGAACCTTGTGCACAGAGCCTGTGCATGCAATACTAGATGGCCCAATCCTTGCAAATACAAGTTCCACTGCTATTAGAGCACTACTATGAGATTTAACTGAGCCCATCCATCATTCCATGTGGTCTCACAGATTTTGGTATATGATCCAAAAAATCAATAGCTGTCTCTTGTAAAATTAATCCGCGCAACAAAAGTATCTGGCCTAACCTGGAACCGCACTGCAGCTTTATTGCGCAACCCATAGATGACATGCTCTTTGACATCCCAGTCGTATGCTGCTAAAACTACAGTTGGCCGTCCGTACAGAAGTAACAGAATTATTCATTAATTGTTAAAAATCTTACGCAGATATCAGAACACTAGACAATAATACATGCACTAACTTAAAATGAATCCCTGTTTGAAATCAATGGAACAAATATTCATTTTGCACGAAGTAGGAGTGAAGTGAAAACCAACCCCAAAGCGATATTTCTGCTAACTCTGGCCGCCCATAAGCTGTTGGCATATAAGATCGCTCTGTTTTAAGTACTGCAAAAGGTACCAATGTTAAACTGGTATAAGATTAGCTCCAGAAACTTTACAGCACGTGCCATTTTGCCACATGCCATCAGGACACAAAACACCCGAGACTTATATAATTTCCCGGTAACAAAAAAAAAAAAAAATAATGATGGCAACACTCTGAGCTTAAAGAAACTTGAATTCACAAATCAGTCTAAGATGTCTGAACGTTCACTAAACTGAATGTAAAAAAATGATAAATGTGGTGAACCTACACTGTTCATCCTGTGATGGGTCAAGTTTGTTCGTTTCACAAAACGGCATCTCCTTCAGTTTCGAGTCCTTTTTCTATTCCATTTTTCTATTTTTTTTCACTTTCAAATCCCTGCAGCTCATCACAGGCTAAATAGTATTTGAAAATTTGATGAGCAATACATACGTGGACTGAGCGGTACAGTCTCCCGTGCTTTTACGAGCACGTGCACACTGTCATGTCACGTACTTTCATCAATAGTTCTGCCTTCACAAAGATAACGTACATACGTTTAATTGTGCTTTTTCTTGAAAATCCTGACCGCAAATTCCCCGCAGAAAATCCCGAGTGTACATAATGTGCGATCGCTTTTCCGGCTGTTGCGAAATCACGAATCGTGAAGCTATTACGGTAGTTCTAAACGGATACGCTAGGAAAAACATGGTCGTTACGGGACCAACAAAACTTTGAGGGAACAAAAAAATTTTGTTGGACGAACGTTTGACGGAGTGTTTCCCATACACACGCAGCCGTCACCGCATGGCGCCAGCGGAGTAAACCGCCAACCGTTTTAGCCGGTGACTGGACCACCAGTTACTACCCTTCCGGTAATGTAAGCAGTCCCTCACAGTAAGTGACCTAGCTACATGTACTAATACAAACACTCCTCCACGACTTCTTGCGGGGAAATGATTCACTCTCCCTACAATTTTTAACGAGATTTGAGATGACTCCTTAAAGCGCACGCAAGTGTCGAGGGCTTCCTTTCCCGCCATATTGACATGTCTATCTCTCTTAGTCATGTTCGCTGCAGTGTAGTTTCAGCGCCCGTTTCAATAGAATGAACTATGTTGTACCCTCAACAAAATTCATTGTTCCCTCAAAACAAATTTGCCAATATCCCCTTAAACCGCCACAAACTTGCGCAATAGGATTTCGCGGTACTTGAACACACTGGAAATCCCCCGTTGCGAAATCTAAAGTGATTTAGCATAACTGAGATCTGCATCAATGCATTTCTATCCAACAGAAATTACGAAATGCAGGCAGAATGAACAAATCAAAACTTGTTTCTCATTAGCAGGACACACCATTCACTACACCATGTTGGATCATCATTTTTAGGGAACTGGGACGGGGTAAAATGAACAGGACACAATTGGGCACGCTGCGAAAACTTCTGCCTTAGCAGTTAACAACCAGGCAGAGAAGTAAACAAACACGGCAACAGCCACCCGCCCAATTCCAGAAGGCTGCTATTATTTATGACCAAGTTGAGGACTTCAAAAGTACATGGGCTGTGAAAATTCTAAGCCAAAAATAGGAAGTACAAATGTAAAGACAACACATGATGCGGAAATATCGACAATGCCAGGTTATTCACATGACCCGTTTTAAATTCTTAGAGTACAAACATGCGATTACATGTATCGAAGCATTTGACGATTTGCTAGAGCCAAACACAGATCGCAGGCGACGAACATACATGTACAAGTAATTATTTCTTTTTTCTCTTGTTCACTATAATGTAGCAAACTTTGTCAACATGAAACTGAATGGAAATCGGCACTGGCTGTGAAAGAAGAAAAAATTGACGGTGCGTATTAAAAACTTGCCAGTGTTTCCCTTTAGAGGTCTGCGATCACGTCAATTTAAATATGTAAAAAAAATCTGAGCCCACCTAATGAAGTTTATTTGTAATAATTCAACATCATTAGTCAGTGAGAAGCCTGGTCCAATGAAAGTACAATCTCAACAATTCGAACGATTCAAACTGCAAAATGGGTGATGAAACCAGCAAGATTTTTGGTAAACCAGAAGTCCACGAATGAGTTGTACATGTAGATGCAATGAATTTCTGGGTGTAGACTGGGAACAGTAAATTAATCGCCGCGTGGATAAGGGAATGGATGAGTGTGCTTGTGAGTCATGTCAAAAGTGCACTGCACCTCACCTCTTTGGTGTGTGTGTGTGTGTGTGGGAGATTACATCAGTCCGCTGTTATGCGTGAAGAATTGCAACATGGCATGTTTTTTCACTCCTGCTTTTATTAGGTGCTTGGAATAAATTTACCACATACGCCTACATAAAATTTGATGACACTGACAGTGAGCTACAAGCAATACTGCATTATTTCTAAATAACACACACAGGCAACTTTGTTCAATGCACATACAGTATCTGATTAGGCAATACACAGACATCACGTGAAAATAACCAACGGAATCAAAGGGCAGGATGATGATGGCTGTTGAAACGGTCAAAGTTCAGTCAGAATAGCTTTATACTTAAGGCACGCGTAACTACATTTAGAAAGTTAAAAATTTGCTCACGATGTGTCTTCCACCTCAATACATGGAGCATTATAAAAGGTTGTTGCTGTTAAGCCCTCATGACATCCCAAATCCAATATTATTCAATTCATTTATTTTGTTGCGCTAGCAAAGTCAAAAACAAAAAATACAGACAAAATTAAGGCAAAACTGGCACAACATGGAAGGTGTAAAAATGCATTTAATATTCAAACAAGGAAAATAAAACCTGGTACATTTGGTGCGTAAACATATTTATAAGATGTCACCAGTTTTAATACACACATAATAACGCAACAAGTCAAATACACCAGGAAAGGATGGGAGAATAGTGCATCTGGATACATTTCAGTATGGAAAGGTCAATGAGATACGGTCACAGTATCAAATGTACATCTACAATGCAGAATATGGCCCTCTTACACAGGAATCTTACCCTCGCATTGGCTACCTGTCTTGCTTCTGAAGCCAGAGTATCACTACATCCCCAGCCACGGCAGGTCACCACTCTGACCGCGCACTGACCCCAGCGTTCTCTCAGCCGACCTGCTGGAAAACTGGACTACACTATCCCCTCCCAAACAATTTATGCACTCATATAAATGTGACTGATCGAACCACCTCAACATGACATTTAGTGTGTTTCTACATAGAATACTTTCTATACGCGGTAAATAAATGACAATTCCAATTCCAAGCCTTGCCAAATCAACTTACACTTGCAATAAAGAAAACAATAATTTAAAAACATACATAATATCACATTACGGTCCTCAATGTTGGACAGCGTTGAAATCACTCTGACACGGAAAATAATTGGTACATGAAATTTGCAAATTATTCCTTGGGCTGCAGTTGGCATTTACTTACGGTTTCCCGTGAGAAGAGGAAGCCACCTACACACTTGATAAATAAAAAAAATACACATACAAAAAGAACGAAATACATGTATATCCAGAGAAGCATAAAATGTAAATTAGAATCCCAGATTTGACATGATTTCAAGGTAACAATCAATTAAAAAAAGGCAAAGTGGACTGACGATGATTATCAATGATAAGGATAAAACCAGTTTATAAATATGCAAATAGAAAAAAAAACCACCTTCAAATGCGATGTTACATGGTATAAGCCCTTTGATTCAGAGAATGCCACATACTAACAATGCCATTTTGGTCAATCCATACTTAATTAATCACAGAGAATGCAGTACACTTGATCAACAATGTCATCTAGGTCATTCCAATATCTGGTTTCCATTTCATACCATCCTACCGTTTCTCTGGTTGCTTTCCTGGCATCCTTTGCCTCCTGTTTTAACAGACAAAGCACTCAAAGCACATGGCAAACTTAACGTGATCATTAAAAGTTTAAGGTATCTGCAAAACACGACAGAAAAATATCCCACCCCTTCCCTACGTCATGCTATATACAATAAAACCTCCGCATAGGCATGATCAATTGTAATACCAAGACACAAGAAAAAAATTAACAATAAACGTAATTCAATCAATTTTAAACATGAAAATGAATGCTATCTAAGTTGACCAAGTAAAACTTACATTCAGAAAAATATTTACTACATTTAAGAGCATTTCTAAGCATGTCTATACACAGGTCTCTTGACAAAAATGGTTAATTTCTTGGAGTATCGTTACCAACCCAGCACTAATAGTGTCTCTGCATAAAACTACAGGGACTGAAGATCTTCCATCTGGTAGACTATCATGCACATCTCCTGAAGACTGCATCAGTAGACTGGTGACGGTGCTCTGGTGACGTCACTAAACCAAAACCCCAATATATTCAACAATGTGTGTACAATCAACAGTTTGCAAAATGAGAGATGGAAACCTCCAAACTGCCATCCACTTCAGAACATCAATCAATGCATTCATTCAAAGCAATGCAACAAGTGGCAAAACCTTTCAAATGGCAAATTTTCAGAGAGGAGGCATAGGTGGTTGGAAACATGCTACATGTATTTATTACCCTCTGGTCGTTCATTTTTGAGCACAGTGGCCACGGAATGCACTATACAGAAGAAATGGGTGGGTCTGCGGAATTCTTCTTGGCCACTTGAGAGACGACTACTCAATTTTACTCTGAAAGCTTCATGCATGTGCCTCTCACCCAACTTCTCTCTCGTAACAAGTTACAAAATCAGACAATGCATCATCTTCGCATTCAAACTAATCATGGAATTTTTTGGTTTTCTGTTTTTCAACTAAAACGCATGCTTCAATCCAACGACAGCAGTGAATTTCCTCAATAACATTACCTTATCTTTTTCTGACATTTTGGAATCAGGTGGTATTTTTTTTCTTTGTACAATGCACAGAACATGTATTGGGATTTGGTGAATACATTTTTTTTGTCAGAGACGACCAAAACAGCAATTTTTTTTTGGATAAAGCACTGGATGTGGAAGGGTAATTCAGTTGACAATTCTGAGCCTGTGGGGAAAAAACAGCAGGGGAAAACAAGAAAAGTACACAGAGCGTTGTATATCAATAGAACACCAATGGCCCCCGTCTGTTGGAAGGAGTTTCACAACGACGGGGTTTTTCAGATAAAATTAGAATTACGTCATAAGGACAGACAGGACACGGACAATGCAGAGGGCAAAACTATGATGAATAATGGGTTAGTCCAAGATTACAATGCACATTCAAAACCTGCACAGAGTTGAACCATAGTGCAAATTAGACAATCAAAAACATGAAAAATGTTTCACCAAATAACCAAAAAAATAAAGATAATGTGCACCAATGATATAGACCAAAGTGGCCAGTAAACCTTCATAATCATAGAAAAAATACATGAAAGAATGACAACATCAGCATGAACTTCTACAATCAAACGCTACATTATTAACATTGCAAATGGTTTCAAAAAGTGTATTTCCTGCAAGGAAAAAGGAGAATATTGCGACAACTCTCAAATCCTCAGAGTCGACAAATGAAACAAGCTGCTAGAAATTACAGTTGTAGAGAACCATTCATGAAAATGCACATCATCCAAATGTTTGACAAAAAGAGTGAGGAAACCACACAAGGAAATAGTGGACAATCATCAATGAAAACTTAGTTTGATGAAGAAATCAAATCACAAAATCATCTTGAGTGAGGACTGAAACATTTTGCCCGAGGAGCAATTCACAACAAGCAGTCACTAATTAATGCTGTAATATACACTTTTTAAATGCCAAGTATTTTCCCAACAACAGCAACAGATATGACCAAAAAACAAAAAAAACAAAAAAAAAAAACAAAAATCACCATGGCACAAAAGACGTATTAAATAAAACAACGAGAGATGCAGATCAAAGTAAGAAGGCATGAATTGGTCAAGTGGGCGAAGGGAGGATGGAATATATCACCACAGTGTAAAACATCCTTACCTGGTAACCTCTTGTCAAAGGTTAGAAAACTGTGCATATTACTGGGGGTAGCCGGTAGCCTGCAGGTAAGAAAGACAAACCATTTTCTGGATGTCATTTGCATATTCGCAGTGTGGGATGATATTCACAATGCAATCTCCCCATCGGACAATTTGTTGGACTGGCTGTCAGGCAACAGGCCAGTGCCCAGTTCAGCATGCAATTTCATGAAAGTTGGCATAACCTTGTAGATTGTGTAAGCTTTTAACTGCACATCTGCGAAGGCGCCATTGCATTTACAATCCATTTCATAAAGATTTGAATAATTGCACAAAATAGCAAGTACTTCAAAAATCTTGAACAATCTTGCACTGCATTTATAATCCATTTCATAAAGATTTGAATAATTGCACAACATAGCATATACATGTATTTCAAAAAACTTGAACAATGATCACAGCTTTTATGACAGCCCCTCATGAATGATCATGTTTACTGTCACTGAAAAGTTGCTAAATAGGATCTGCCTACTCTTGTCGGCCGGGAAATCTCAAAGTTCTCTCAAAGGCAGACAAGAATTTCATTACTCTTCTAAAGACTTTTTTTTTCATTTTAGTACCACTGTTGGCAAGCTGACCAATAATGAGCTTTCAGATGATTCTAATTATCAGAAAAATTGTCCCTATTCCATTTGCTTGTGGAAACTTTAATTTCATTTCAACTTTTCAATTTCAGGGGCCCTATTTGGGCATTTGAGATAATCGCTCAAAATTACATCATTGGTTGCAAGATTTGATTTGCGGTCTTGCTCACTGCCTATTAAAGTGCCATGACTATCTGTTTCCTCAAATCTGGCACAGGTGGAGTTATACCACTGTGGTAACTTTTGTAACATCTGCTGCTGGACAATCACAATGATTAATATTCCCAAACTGTGATTATTCCTGGTTTCAAGTTTTCTGCTGTCATGGTATAGTAGTGTACTTTACACGGACAAGCTACTGTAGCGTGGGGCATAAGTCCACCCTATATACTTATACTTCTCAAATCTGTGGAAGCTGGAGACTTGGGCCATGGGTAACTCTTGTAAAATATGTCATGCATGTTTGGTGACAAACTTGACAAATCAGGAGCTTTCATTGCCTTGATATTGATTTTGGGTGCAATTGGCCAATGGTTACATGAGTTCTGATCCAGTTGATCATAAAGCTACCCAAAGTCAGCTCAGAACTCAAATCACGAGTCACTTTATGCATATCACTCAAGGGATGAGTGATGCTGAATGGTTGAGAGGAATCACTGTCAGTTTGGGTATTCAAGTCACACAAAGTGACTCGCGATGGACTCATGATCACTTGATAATACCTGTGCTAGTTGCTAGAAATGACACGATCCTTTTTAATTTTTTGTACCTGCTGATTAGGCTGCTGGCCAGGCTGGCCGGCAGGTGGCGCCTGCCCCTGCTGCCCCTGCTGTGAGGCATACATCGCCTGCTGCTGTCGGAAGTACTCTGCCCAGGCTGCACTGTAGTCTGGCTGGGCACCGCCTTGCTGTGTACCCCCTTGCGCCCTCATTGCCTCTGCTGGAAAAGTGGGGAGGGTGGAGTTGAGGTATTGGGGAGAGGAAAAAACAAAAAAAAAGTTTCCTGCTGTGAACCAAGTTTGCAGGGAAAAAAGTGGGGGTGAGCCTTTGCGTTTGGTGGAGGAATGTTGGAATTTCGTAACGGAGTGCTGTAATGATGTTCTTTGGACAGTAACTGAACCCAATATCATGGCGCTATTAAAGGAAACAATTCTCGGCCAATACAGCCTCCATCCATTTCACTTTAGCATTGACATCCAGGACATGAATTGTGTTTAAGCTTGGCATAATGTTTCTGCTGCTTGTTTAACCACTTCCCTCTGGCTGGAGTTTGATCATGCAGGACGCGCTGGTGGTCAATTTTCCGTTTTCAAAATTCATCAAAAATTCTTATCTTCATTTACTGGATGCATACACCCACATGCATGACCGTCTGGTGGCTGGTCTAATCTCACAACCTCCATTGATGCGCGAGCATTGCAGCCGTGCCTGCTGCCTAGTAAAGAGCCCCCATTGTACGATATCGCATAATTTCCTGTCTTCCAGAAATTGGCCCAGTGTGTTGCTGGATGGCAGTATTGTCTTTACTAATGCGGCCAGATTCCACGAGCATGCAGCAGTATTGTATCGCTCATTGCTGGAGTGCTGGAGGACTTTTGTCCCCACTGGTAATCTGCTGGCGCTGGCAGTGGCAAAAAATGGTACTGTTTTGAAACAATGACAGATTACCTCCCCTAATGCCAGCACTCTCTGCTGACAGCATATGAACCTTGATTGGCAAGTCCCAGCAGCTCGTCTTTTGTAACGAGTTCGGTCTTTTGTTGCAAGACCCAGTTCTTTAGTTCTGATTTCAGGCACCTCGGCCATGAAACACGGCACCATGTCTCCGGTACCAGGCTCCCCGGCGGCAAGTAGTTAATGCCCATCTGGCTTAATAATGCTATCACTGACGGCCTGCTCAGAATCTCCTCGATTGGTGGTCACGCCAGCGTGACGTAACACAGTGGCTGGTCTAAGCAAACTGAATCAGCAAATCCACCACATGGTTTTCGGCTTGCTGGCTTATTTCAAGGTCCGTCGCTATTCACCATCCCAACACCAGTGTATCTCAACCACATTACTGTCGAGACTGGGAGCACTTCTTAAACAAAAACAAGTCATCACCTGGGCCAAGCGTGATCTTAATCTTCCACCTAACTGCGAATGAGACCACTCTAACCATTCTGCTGGAGACCCACACAGGGAATAAGGACAAGCTGCAAACACAGGACTTCGACATCATCGACCACATCTCATACAAGCTCTATGGTATCTACTTTGACCTTTGACCTAAACCTTGTCTTTTTCTTTGTGATTCTTATCTTATTCTATCTGGGGACCTCAACTGGTGAATGGAGCAGGAAACGGATACCTCTGTCATGACGTACCACAGGGATCGGAGCTTGCTGTAGCTCTCTTCAACTTATGCACTGACGATCTACCTCAGACGGCTTCAGACAAGCAATCTAAAAGTGCCTTAGGGATTGCTGGAGTCTCTTAAAGTGCGTGAAAATATACTTGAGGCAGACCTGTCTACTCCAGTATGTGAAAATAGACGATGAACCTGACGATGAACCAGCTAAAGACTGCCTGTTGACTCTGTAACTTGGCGAACAGATTGGCAAAATGGAGCTTGGATCAAGCTGGATTTTTTTTTTCTTTTGTAATTTCATACCAACTTCCTCAACAGATCAAAACCAATTTGTCTCCACCACTGCAAACCTTCTATTGCATTCAAACTTCCTTTCAGGTGGTAGAGGCCCACATAAAAGCTAAAAGAAAAATTTAATGACTAAATTCCCTTGCAATTATAACATCGCTGTATCAAGTTTTTTGTCCCAACAGATAGTATTAGGCAACATATGAGATGGCTCTTTTACATCAAAATGCTGTTAACTGAGGAAGTCAGCTTTAAGCTAAGCAGTGAGAGAAAACTACAAGCAATTCCTGGGCTTTTCCTGCTGACACTGAGGTACTAAAAACCTGGCAACTATGAAACAAAGCCTGGCGAAGCACAGCAGCATGTGCAGTATACAAGTAAGCTTTGCGGCACTGACATGAGATGGACAAGGACAAGCAAGGACACATTCATTCTGACATCACAGTTCACCTGCTTGCATTGGGGGGAAGGGGAAAAAAAAAAAGGATTTTCCCAGGATATACCTACCTTGTTGCCTGTAGTATTCTGCCCACTGGCTTGAATAGTCTGGTTGGCCTGCCTGGGTCTGGGTTTGCCCTAGTATGGAAAGCAACACAAGCAAAATACACAGGGTGGACCCCCATTATCTGGATCTGGGCACCGTTTTACTGTCTCCCATTGGTTTCTCACCACCCCTCTGTCTGCATTGGCTAGTGTATACCACAAGTGATGAGCTACTGAATGTTATACGCAATGGCCATATTGGTCTTGGCCACTGACTTTGGGCTGATGGTTACCTTCCACAGACTATGGGGCACCAGACTATTGCTGACAAAGCAATGTGTCAGAACATGTTTTGTCCAATAACTCCACACGGCTGATGTGCACTAAAAAAATTGGTCACTTGATGAACTGCCAATGTGACAGTGAGGTGGTGTTTTGAGGTGAAAATCATTTTTGACTTTTGTTTTGGGGGGGAGAAATTGAGATGTAGTCCAGCTCTGAGTCCTTTCAAGGGCAGCATTGGTTAGTGCAGATCTGTCGACAGCACCCTCCCATCTTGGAAACTGTCATGTGCAAATATAAGCAAACAAGGATACTCATCCTGCTATTTTTTGGCTCTAAGTTACCCCTATGGTCTAAATGCCATCTGAGTGGTTAAATGTGAGAAGCTTAGCCTCAGTCAACTTGACAGGTTTCCAATATGGATCAAAGTCAATCTGGCCACAGGTCTGCAGCGAACCAGGACATTATGGGATAGCTGATGAGATGTCGCTCAAGGCTCCTGACTGCTAGAGACAGAAGCCGTGACTTGGCGTGGGAACATAGGGGCCGGTGGGGGAGAGTGTCGCTACCTTGTGACTGTGTGGCCGTGGGCTGGCTGCCGGTGGCTGACTGCGGGGTGCTGGTGGCAGCAGCCTGTGGCTGCATGGCCTGCCCAGGCTGCTGCTGCTGGTAGTACTGTTGCTGCTGCTGGTAGAAGGCCTGCCATGCTGCCTCGTTGCTCTTAGCCTGGTCCTGGCCCGGCTGTTGAGACCAGAAAATCTCTGTTTAAAACATTTGTACTGCAGCCTATGAGAGACAGGTGTATATTACAACCAACTCTCAAACTGGAATGCACAATTGTCACATTGTGACCAGATGCCATGTTCTTTGAGAATCATGCATGTCACCAGGTCTTCCAATCACATGCCGGTTGTGAAGAGCAAGAACACCTTGCTCCATCTCGACCTCTGAACAACCAAGGCCTGGCTCGCAACGTTTACTGTAGCATTCATTCGACACCCACCACCCATGGAGGAAGTGGGTGTTGGGCTCTAACTGAATGCAAAGGAGCAACTGTCCGTACAAACCGGTAACCAAACAGTGTCATCCCTGTTCCTCGGTTACGCATCTTTGATGACACAAGAGGACGCAGACACCATTTTCTTCTCAAAATATTAATTAAGCAACCACACAAAACAACCAACGGGGAGTTTTCAACAAGGTATTATGTCTCAAACTATCCACTCTGAGCAAGTAGGGCATGTTTTTACGTGGAAACGATTGTCTTTGGTGGGAACGTGTCCAGGTTTACGTGCATTTGCGTCAGAGCAAGCTGAGTGTGCGCAATCAATTTATATTGGAATGTATGGTCTTCGCATGTGTGCCGGGCACCTGTGCGAGCCCAGTTGAAAACCTTCCAATGTCCCTCCTTTGCCAATGAGGGTGTGTGTGAACTCGGGGCCGATTCAGATACAATTTAGCATTTACCAAAAAAAACCAAACCCAACTACTTAAGTCCTTGCACATGTAACAGGGTCACTACGCCCAGAAGTTTCCATTCTGTTTTTCAATCAATGTACTATTCCTTGTGTGATTACGGGTTTAACTTATGGATTAGCAACTTTTTGGGCTCCAATTTTCTCACAGGTAGGGATGAGTCAATTCGAAGAGTTCACTATTCGAATATTCAATTCGACTGAATGACTGATTATTCGGTCGTACTGACCGGCAGACTGTTGATGAAGAAACCTTATACAAAATCAGTTACACGCAATTGTCGTTATAATCACTATAATAGCTCCTCACTTCTAGGAGTATCCCCAGCCACGATTTAAGAGACGAACAAAACTTCTTGCCCTCTTGAAAATTTCTATTCCTTTTAAATTCTGTAATAAATAACTTACTTTTCGAATCATTGTATTTGTCGCTTTTCATTTGAATCTGCTTCAAACGAGCGTCCATTAAACAGTATTTCTCATTTAAAACAAAAGAAAATGCTCCCTTCAGTTTCATAAATTTTGCATTCAAAGATTCAAATTTGGCAAATAATAATCCACTGTATTCGGCACAGCCCTACACGTCAGTTTCACTGGCAATGATAAACAAGCAGGCAATCCCACTTTGGGAGGTTTTTTTCACTGAAGTTTCTCTTCAGTTCATGTTATTCACCTGTATCTTCCGACGACATTTCTTTGAGTTTGTCACATTTATTTTTGCTGCAGAAAGTTTGAGAATTTTGTGTCGAGAATAGAAAATGTCGGTGAGGCTCAGTTCAGCAAGTTTACTGAGTTTATTTTCATTTCTTACCATCAGTTATCCAAATAGATAGCTGAGAACACACAATTCACTATCAATACCGACTCGCATCAGGGAAATTTTAAGTGAAGTCTCCACGACACTCGGAGAAATCTTTATAGTACGACAAAGTATGTACCAACTGTTGATATATAATGTTTTCCCAACAAAGGTTTGGGGAGAAACAAAGGGATCTCTGCTATTTTCTTGGGCGAACTGGTACAAAAAGCTTCCAGATGTTTGTCAATTTTGATAAAAAGTTGTATTTGTAAAATTAACTCTTCAAAATATGATACCAGCTGGGAACCAGTGGAAGACTGTGAGCAACCCTGTACACTTCAGCAACTATGGGTCAAGTAGTCTTTAACATTCCCCACCGTCAGGGGAGAGGCCCAACACTTCATTTGGCTTACCTGCTGCTGTTGCTGCTGTTGCTGTCCCTGGGGCTGTCCCCAGCCTCCACCACCGCCACCCCCACCGTAGCCGCCGTTACCCCAACCGCCGCCCCCACCCCCGGGGTTGTAGTTCTGGTTACCCTGGTGCCCTCCGCTGAGAAAGGGAAAGACACAAATAATAGAAGTAATGGATTGGTGAAATTCCAGGTTTTATCCCAGCTTTTGTACTGAAAGTCAAGAAAAATCCCCTGCTGTAGTACACAAACGTCAACACTTCACTTGATTACTTCCGACTGAAAGACGGCTCTGTTCCCAATGTACATTTGGACAGAAATGCTAACGTAACTAGCGTAATAGGTATATTTGTTATGGGCTCACAAATAATACAGACTAGAAACAGTAAATACAAACATAGATTTTCATTTGACAGCAAGCTACACCGTTCTGATGTGCGTCTGTCTTCGTTCAATACTGACAAACAGCACGCTCCTGGAACAGAATGGCAATGCTGGAACAAAAACCAGATTACCAGAGAGACTTTTTGGCACCACCATCATGTAAGACTCCAATAGAATGCATTCAGACGGTTTCGGCTTCCCACTGTGACTGTCTATGTCAATCCAACTTTGTGTACAGCCCCATGTGAGAGGCGGCTTGACAACAGATTTGTTTGCAACAAGTTGCTGCTCTTTTGTGAGCATACCAAACACTTCCTCGATTTCTTGCACGGGGGATTTCTTCCTCCACACAGCCGCTCAATCTTTCCAATAGCCCACACCTTTAGCTTTCTCACCAGACAGTTAGGCAAACACAAATCAAACCTTACCCTTGGTTATATCCACCACCACCTCCTGGTCCCCCGCCCATTGGTCCCTGCTATAGAAACAAAAAAGTGACATTAGCATTTGCGTAATTGGCATCACCTTCTGGAGACAGAGCAGAAGAGATCCCATGACTGTAGTGGCACCACACCCAGGCAGGTATTCTTAAACCTTGATGCATTTTCATTTTTGGCAAGTCACTACGTCCCATTGGCTGAAGAAGTATGTACCCTGCATAATTATTATCCGTTATGCACAAGCCTAGTGCCACTGCAGTAATGACTCCAAATAACAGTAGTCCGATTACCCTACAATGTGGCCTTTTCATGTTCTGTTCTAGGGTACCATTACACTGCAGTCTAGTGTAAGACAGCCCCCAACCATGAAGCATGCATGAAACAAAGGTCAGATCATCTACAGGGGGCATCACGTTGCCTGGTCTACTATCAAACACCACTCACTGGACATCTAAATCCTGGCGGCATTAGTGAAATCCAGGCTTGGGTTTCCTATTGCACCATGGTTATGCCCAGCACCCACTGCCAACACAAGGTTGACAGGCTGTAGCTGGATGCCGAGTGGTCACACTTGACAAGATAACCTCAGAAGTCAACTTCTATACATCTTTCTACCACTCTTCAATAAAAATCAATTTTTAAAAAAAGAAATTTTCTGGGCTTTGAGAAATTACACATCTGAAAAATGTTTGCAAAGGTGTTGTTCAACACTTACGTTGAGTTTCTCTTGGATAAGCTGCTCAGCAGAGCTGATCTGTTCAGACGTCCCCTGGATGGTGAAGATCTTCTCCCCCATTTGGTTGACACGAGGGGTCATCTCCACCCGGGCCCCTGACCTGGCTGTAATGGCTTGGATGTTTGCACCACCTGAAAACAGAAAAACCACAATGGTCATCTTCATAAATGAATGGTCAACTCCATAAAAGCTTAACAGAAACCACCCCCCCCCCACAATTAGCAGACCAGCTTTCATCTTCGTGTCTTGGTTAAGTCACAGCTAGGAAATGCTGACATTCTTTAATCTGTAGCAAAAACATGTACAGGAAATCATTCACAGCTGGGTTATATCTCCCTGTCTCTAACCTTGGGATAGATCTCTCACGTTTGACCGAAAGACTCAAATCTTTTGCTTGCTACATGTTACATGTGATAACAACTCAACCACACTGGGCAATGACTTTGAAAGTTGGCAATTTTGTTGATGTTGAAACGAAGACAGGAGAAATGCCAAGGTTTGTGGTATGAGCAGTTAAATACTTCATCTCTCAAACACTTCAAAATCTATAAGGAATTTTGAATAATTTTGAACAAACAAGGAAAAGCAGAGATCATGGGGGATGTTTTTAGAAGAATTCTAGAAGAATCCTACTTACGGAGAAAGAGTTGAATTTAGTGTATTCCCTAATTGTCTAAAAGAGTCAACACAAACATGGTGAACAGTGCTAGAATTACAACTGCAGAACGGCTTACCTCTACCAATGATCAAGCCACACTTGTTGGCAGCCACCGGGATTTCCCTCATTTCGCCACCGTTGCGGTACTGGTTATCCCTCATCATGCCCGGCCGGCCGCCCATGAAGCCACCCCGGTTGCCAAAGTTGTTGGGTCCCCCTCCCCGGCCCCGCCCCCTGCCTCGCATGCCCATACCCCTCTCCATGTCACGTTGCTACAGAATGAAAAAATAAAAGGCATGCACATTTCACTCGCAAATGCCCTAGCCAACCCAACAAAACAAGTTGGAAGTCCCAAGAGCTCAAACACATGTAGCCTGGTCTACTATCAAACTCCACTCATTGGGGAGTGACCCTTGTGGCGTTAGCGAAATCCAGGCTAGGTGGTTTCTGTAGCATCCACTTTACACCCGGAGCCCACAGAGTGTACGAGGCACAGGGTTCTAGCGGGATGCGTATCGGGGAAATGAACGCAGTACAAACTAAAACTAAGGGTGAGATTTGAGGAAAGTGAAATATCCATGATTCCCCCAAAATTTAAATAGGCTCACCATTTGTGCTTAACAAAAAGTACGCCTTAAAATTTAGTTTCTTGCTTTTTATATCATTACTGTAGAAAACAACTTAAATGGTAAGATCAGGATTTTCCTGATTTAAAAAAGGAAAATGAGGAAAATCCCGAGGAAAAAGTCCTGACTTGGGAAATACCCTGATAAATCTCATCCCCTGTAAACCCCCACCAAAGGTCAAACAAAAGAAAATCAATGTTGAAGGCGCAACAGACTGAACACATGTAATGCCATTGAACTTAAAGCTCAAACACAGTAACACACATACACACCTCTGGTTCAGTTTGTTACAAATCACAAATGCCTAACCCTGAGCACTAATCCTTTACTCACTACAACTTTCGAATCTACAATAAAAGACACTTGGTCTTGACCCTTCACAGAGGCCCTGCTTGATACCAAACACAACAGCGGCGTTACTGTTCAGTGTAGACTTAAACACTGACAAATCTTGTCTCTGTCATGGCTACACAGCTTCCTAAGTTTAGTTAATTAATTTTACCTTCGGAAGAGTGAGCGGCCTCTCTTGGCGAGTCCATTGGAGCTAATTACCGTCATCAAGACGCTTCAAATATTTTGATTTTGATAGATAGATCGACTACTCCAAAACCAATATACAATGAACTCATCAGCCGCAAATCAACACCAGAGAAATAGGCCCTGCTGGCAGCTGCAACATAACATGAGCAGTCAGCGAAGCTTATCCATCGCTTTCCTAAATTCAAATTGCTTTTGCAGATGCTGAATATTTGTCTAAGCAGTCCTCTGAAAATCCTTGGCATATTACTTATCGGTAACAACTGGGAACGTGTATCTACCCTTATTGTGTTGAGCATTGTTGGGGAATGATAGATTCAACATGTTATTCCACAGAAACCTGGAGAACACCAAGTCTCAGTTTACAAGATTCCTCTCCCAAACTACAAATTGCACAAGATGTTTTATTTTATGACAGCAACACAACAAATCTTGCACTTAAACTCGATGAATGGAACCATCAACATAGCGGACAAGAACCATGCAAGAACACTGGATTTTTTTAGCACGCCTTTACTGCGAGACTTGCATGTAAACATGCACCCTCCAAATACAGCATTAACAGCAGTAGCTCCCCAGACGTTTTAGGGTCACTGGCACATCATTGATACATAACAAGTGTTTCTGAGGAAGGGTCTTGCGGCAGCCTGCGTTTTTAACATTTTTTTGAACATAAATGGGAAAACTGTTCCATATTTTCATGTTAAATTTGGAAGATGGTCTTGCCACCTGTTGCATAAAAGTTATAACTGGGGTGAAGGTTTTTTTATTGCCTCTTTCAAAGCCTCTAAACTAATGTAAGAAGCCCTTAATCCAGATTGACAGCCTCTTTACTTTGGATGACAGCCTCCTAACTAAAAGTTAAACAGCACACCATCTGCAAATAGTACTAACCTTTGCCTCTTGCACGATCTCGTCCACAATCTCCTGGGCTCGATCCACAGCAGGTGTCGGCCCAGTGATGATGCAGACTCGCTCCTCGCAGCCGTCATCCTCCTTGAACTGCACACGGGCCCCTGTGTCTTCCTGGATGCTACGGATCATCTCGCCCTTCTTGCCGATGATGATGCCTACTGTCTGTCTCGGGACAGTGAACTGAGCCATGCCAAACACGAAGAACAGGACATATTGTCAGATGCAACACATTGAAAGTTTTGTCAAACAACTTTGAAAAAGCAGCTTCTGAATCTGCTCTTCGGTAAAATGTGATTTGAGTTTGTACAAACTTAAATCACATCTGAGGACAGGTAATCCCCTGTTAAATAACACTAACCTCAACCCACTGAAAACGCATGAGAAATCACGGCATTGTTGGGTTCAGGGTTTGGAAACTCCTGATCGGGATTGTAAACAATTGGAAATCAAGTCAGCTGGACTTTGTAATGAGGGTCAAAGCCTGGGGCTGCTTACCTCTCTGTTGTCACCTCCACCGTAATTGGACTGACCCCGTGGAGCTCCTTGTCCGCCCCCTCCCACGCTGTTGTTGTACTCTTGCTGCTGTTTCTAACACCAAAGGAGAACAAGTTCGAACTTCATTTATTTGTGGAAGGAATTATCTGGCCGAACACACTGGGAAGCTCTGTAGTCTTGGGGCGAGAGAACAAACCAGGGTCTACTTATCTTAGAATTTCACATATTGGTGTTGGGCCAAAAAAGGCATGCTTTGAAACTTAATACATATCCTTATTGCCTTGGCCCAGAGACGAACCCGACTTGAAGGATATTGAAGTCCTTTGGGAATAGGGCTATGTTCATGACAGCGGGGATTGCTATGGCAGAAACATGATGGCCAACACTTAAGGAGTACATGTACAGTGTTTTAACTGCATTATTACACGGTGAAATACAATGATTATGATGCAATGCATAGAATACACAATATCCTGAAGGATTTGGCAGAACAAAATGTGACTGCAAAGATAACTTACATCCAACAATTCGCTGATCAGTTCTTTGGCTCTCTGTCAAGGCAAAGAAACAATTCCATTTCATTACAGTTGCCACAGACCACTGACAATACACAAATCCCATTCCTATAAACTCACAAGACATCAGTCATCAACTGCAGGTCTGTAACTAGACCATTTGAACGATGTACACGCAAATCAGGGAAGTGCCTGATACTGACAAGCAATGTTTTACATTTCCATTTGTCGGACCAACAATAACTTCATCAGGGTTGGCAAAAATTCAACATCTCAGCTTCAGACAAGCCTAACAGTAGGCAAACCTTGAGATGCTGCAAGAAATAAAAACAGGTGCAGTGCACAGCAAATGATGCAACACACAATGGACCACAAGGACTGGCAGAGAGCACAGTGTGCACTACAAACCAATGCATGCAAGGCAATGCTGTAGTCAAGACCACTAAAGACTTTCACAAGACCAACACAAGCCCTCCAGTCTGAATTCACATCACGAGCTATCAAAATGAACTGCAACAAAAGCATTCCTTTGTCATTGTGTGAGGTCTCGCGTGTCAGGTCTTGTGATGGTCTCGACCAAAACACTGATGCAAAGCCAGCATCTGTAATTCTTCTCATACAATCAACAGCACGGATGAAATACTGGGCAAAAGATTCCCATTTCACAAACGCTCAATGCTATTTGTTTTGAGCTTTTTACTGCTACATCCTCCAAAATGTGCGTGCATTGACTGTCTTTCACTGGCACATGCTTTGAATCACGGTAAATCAGTGTATTTTTTTAGTGGGGGGGGGAAATCCTCTATTGCCTTTGAGCACCATGCCTTGTGGAACCACTGTTCTCATTACCAGTGGGGCACAACCACCATTTTCAATTTAGATAAAAACTTGTTCTTAAGGTGATTGTTTCCAGACTGGCCCTGAACAGACCATGCCGGTAGTGAATACTCACTTCCACTTGAGATGGGTCACCAGTGATTTTGAGGGGTTTTTCCATGCCAGTGTTGGCAGTGCTGTCCTGAATCATCATCATCCTGGCACCAGACTGTTCCTGAAGGCAGGTGGTAGAATAATCACATGTAAGGCATTTAACCAAACCGTTATTCAGAAGCTGGTATATTATCCTCCTCTTTGCTCATCCAAACATTGCTGGTAACAGCTCAACTCCCGGGGGAGAATAGAGCTAAGTGGTTAAACACATTGACCATCCTTGCTCTTGGGTGAAGAAATCCAGATAGATTTAGGGTGACTCACTTAAGATTGCACAATGTAACCGGCTGCTGGACTAGCTTCAAACCTTAACCACTGGGGCAAATGCCCCCTCAGGCATCATGTCCTTCTGAGGCCATGTGCTTTTGAAGGCCACGTTGCTTAAAAAACAATGCTAAAAATACAAAAATGAAATTCAAAATCAAAGTACTGGGAGAATACGTCAACTCTTGCCTTTTGATCTAAACCCTAGGGCATGTGAGAAAAAAGAAACGCAGTTCCACTGATAAATTGGTCTGTTTTGATTAAAGTTTTGATCTGTTGATCAGCTTAATTTGTTTCCATGCTTATTTTTATTCAAGGTTGAATCAACGATGATCAAGGAGCAATTGACCTATTTTGAGATCAACCAATGTGAATCTTTAAGGCGCATGTCATCAATATGGACCTTTTGACCAAGTATGCCCATCTCTGTATTTTTCCCCAATTTCATTGAAAAAAGTGAATAAAATCTTAAGATTTTGGTTGTTACAGTTTTTGCTCATTCTCTTGTATCCTCTCAACTCTAACCATCCCAAATCCATCAAAATCCATTTCCACTTGTTGATGGATATTGATGGACTTGGCCCAGGAGGCTTGAAGTTCTGCCAGGGTATTCAGTGCATGCTGTCATGGCAATTAGTACTGTTGACGTCAGGTATGCCGTGTGATAGGTCCATAACAAAGACCATCATGCTAGTGGTGCTCTCTTTAGCAGGAAATGTGGATTGTACAGGGAGTGTTAGATTTTGATGGATTTGGTCCAGTGCAAGACACTAGAAGGTTAGGGTTAAAGGAAGTGTTCACGGTAGTTTTGGATTAACTGCATGAAAACAGTAAGTGGAAAAATTGAACACCACCTGAAGGACTTGAAGCGTACAAGCCAAAATTACCTATGGAGATGGGGACTTGAACAAAAGTGACAAAATGGCCAACTTCCCTCCTTACCATGAGCTTGCGGATGGTCTCTCCCTTCTTGCCAATGACCAGGCCCACTTTGTTGGCCTTGATCATCAACTGCTCCGTCACGGCCTCCTTGGAATTGTAGATGATGTTGTCCAGCTCCTGTTTCGCTCTCCTGCAGGAAATAGAAATGTTCCTGTCAACTGTAAGCGTGGAGTGACCTTTTGTTTGTTGGGCCATAAATATAAGACAACTGATGCTTCAATTTTCTCTTGTTAATAACACAAAGGCTTTGATTTTAAAATGGGCACCTTGTATGAAAACGTCTGTGTTTAATTATGGCCCTATCGTGTGACGTCACTTCAGTTTAAATCACGCCCACTGCACATACACTGCGCACAGAATTACATGTATTGATCCCCATTTACGTGGAACCATGGAACCGGAAGTTAATGTGCGACTTCAGCGATCGTCCAACGGGGAGCCTGCTAATCATGGCTCGTCTGCGTGTACAATTAAGTCGCTTACGAACCAGATATGAACACTTCAGTCAGACGAAATTTAAATTGGGTGGAAAACGCTGAAATCGTGCTTGGGTGACCGCGTCAAAAATGAGCTGCATCGATTCCAAAATTGGAATCTGAAACCAAACTTTTTGAGGCATCAACTTCCTAAAATAAAAAGGTCCCAGACATTTAAGTAAGGATTAGGGTAAAAAAACCCAGTCATCAGTGTCCCACGTACATGTTCATAATGTAGTGTGTGAGCACCCATATGTAAGAGACCACAAAAGTGACATCAAGAACAACTGCCCTGGTGAAAGTCGAAGATTGCCAAGTTGATCACGGCTATTGCTCGCTATTACACACAGAGCTGCTCATCTAAGGGTGTTACGCACAGCAGTACAGTCCTCAAAATTCTCCGAGAAAGCTGAGCGAGTACACTGGACGGTATGTGACTTCTCTTTTGGTGAATGTCCCACACATGCACGCTGCTGTTGCACTCCATGCCAACACACTACAGAAACAGTCCAAGCCCCAAATACTTACTGCACAGCTTCTGGTGTCCCCATCAGTGTGCAAGTTCTTACATCCGGGTTGTCAATGTCGTTCTCTGCAAGCGCATGTGCAAAAGAAAGCATCTTGAATTGTGTGGCACGATAGAAACCACTGCGACAGACCAACCCGCACATTTACTGAGCTCCAAACAAACAGCCTGGCTGAGTGTCCTTCAGAACCAATTAACCCACCACACACTACGTGCAATGGCAAATACCAAATCAATCATTTAAGGGATCCATGCAATGCATTTTCTAAGAATCACTTTATGTCCATCTTTATCTTCTTCAATGTATGAAAAACATGAAATCATTTTGGAGTGAAGGTTTTTTAAAAATGCACTTTTTAAGACATTAAAAATTGGGCCAAGCTTTTCCAGACGAATGAAGGCTTTGTTGCCGTGATTTATCAGGAGAGACACATTTCAGTTGAATTTTTTTAGTGTTCAAATGTTGTATTGTGTATTTGCTCTTTGAAAAAAATTCTGAAAATGTATTGCTTGCTGTCTTATTGCCATATACTGTACACAACAATAAATTACCAAAGAAATGGAAATTTATGACAGCAAATTATAGAAAAAAATCCAGCAGTGTTTTATTGAGGTTCAGTGCTTGGGATGATTATGTCACCGTTTGGATCATAAATATGCAAATTTGCATCGGCATGAAAGCTAAAAAGGCTCCAAAAAGAGATTGAAATAGCAAAAGAAATATCAACAAAGATGTTAATTGAAAACCATGAAGGTGTAATTTCAGTGGGTGTAGTAAAATAATTCTTTCGCATGGTCTCTTTAAAAGGTGTGGCTGACAATAACAAAGGCCCCCTGGAAGCCATTGGCTAGTGGCTATGGCTAGTATCCAATGCTTGAGTGGTTCCTAGCCACAGCCGGTTAATTCAGATGCAGCTGCAAGACAAGTCCAACTTACGTCCAGCAACCTGTACTTTGCAATCCGAAGCTTCCTGGATTTTATTGATTGTCTCTCCGCCCTTTCCAATAACTGTGGGAGACAGAAAGTGATGGATTGAATCAATGGCTGCATCCGAATCTCTTGTATATAGCTAGGTCTAGGTCTTCGTTCCGTTGGAAGTGCGTGGAGACGCGTAGACAATAGACCTAGCCGTAGCTCTGGAAGCCTGTTTCGGACACGGCCATTATCACTCCGCGAGTGAACTCCTTGTGAAATCCAGGCACAGGGACTAGCCAGGGTCCTCACAGAAACCTGGAAACCGAATTCCATGACTTTTCCAGGACTACAATATGACAATTGCCATGACATTTCTTGTCACTCTGCTGAAAACAGTTGCTTGTGCCTGGTATTAGGTACTGGAATATTGCATTAGCCTACACTTTTGACCGACAAGGATACGGTCTGTAAAATTATCATTCCCTTGAAGCAGCCCACAACTCCATAATATAATTTAATAACCATGAATGATCTTGATTCCCATTACTTGTCAATGAATTGTTTGCTCCGATAGGAGGGATCCATGGCGTCATGTTTTCCCCAATTTTCATGAGTTTTCACAATATTCCAGGACTCTCTTTCATGGATATTCCATTACTGTGGGAACCCTGTCCGTCTCTCCAGAAAACCCTTGTTAATCAGCATTTTTTATACCAAAATGTACACCCTCTCTCCCAATACTTTCTAACCATTATCACAGCGCCTGCAATCCACACACTCCAAGGAATGCCGAGAGGTAAACCCTGGCTGTGTAAACGGAACCCTTCAACTCTCTTCATCTTGAGTCTTAACCCTCCTTTGGTTTTACAGCACAAATGTGCACAAATGCCCACAGTCACTGGTGAGCATGTAATATTTATATGGAACTCAAACATGCACAGGTTCAGTGTGTACACACTAGATTGCCAGCACAAAATGACCCAGGGTCTTTTGTGCAATCCTCTTCACTGCATTTGGTTTACTGCACAATTATGCACATGAAACAGTGAAGCACAGTTCTCGGGCAGCACAAAAGTGCAATCTGATATTCCTGTGAGGGACAGTTGGTGCAGTGCACAACATGACACAGCTGTGCTTCTTTGAGGTGTTCACCAAATGACCCAAAGAGTGACTTCAGCGTAGGAGGGTTAACTGATAAAGTGTATTTCACCCTACAAATCCTGCCGGCTGGCCAATAACTTCACCAGAATAACACGGTTTTAATGCAAGGCCCCCATGTACTTACTCAAACCAACTAGATTGGCCGGCACCTTGTAGTTCTCCGTCGCACTTCCAATACTATAAGGACAAAAAACAACATAGAGCAGGTAATGTTAAAATGCTGTCAGGGAAACAAATGCACATCACAGGTTTTTCACATTCTTCTGGTATCAGTGACCAGAAAGTGGTATAAAGGGACTTTTTACCAAGGAAAACAAACATCCTTTTGCTAGACGCGAACCTTCCAAAGTCTTTCCAAATCCTCCCTGCATAAATGCCAGGTTTTGAAGAATAAATGCGGTGCAATGCAGTATGGCAAACATTTCTTTTTATTTTGAAAAATGCACTGTCTTAAGGTCTTGGGATGGACCTCGCGCTGCCTTTGCTCAGGTATGCATACACATAGGCCTAAATTATATTGAAAATTATGAGCACTTCTACAGGATATCATTTACACTGCCTCAGCATGCCGACTGCTATTGCTGGAGGAATTTCAAGTAATAGTTAAAACACCAAAGATCACATTACCCCTAACCCCCTAGGCTCTTACACTAGAAAGTACACTGAACCTCACAAAATCAACAGGTTCATGTACTTGTCTATGTACTTGTACATGCAGGTCACTGTACAAAACCTGATAAACTCTAACAGAATAAGCCCGTTGGAGTTTGAGTGATATGGTATGAATGGGTCTATGCAGTATAGGATGACTTGCGCTGAACAGTACCAAACCTGAAGAAATCAAGCATACTCCAACAACTGGCACAACTGCACACAACGAACCACGTGTGTCCCAACTCACACAGAATCAAACACCATCTCCCTGGGCCTTTCATCCCCAGTTTCACAACATTCAAACAGGAAGTTCATCAGGTATGGTACCAAACCTGCCCAAACCTCACAAAACCTGCCTTTGAGTACAGCAGGTTTGGGGTAGTAGGGTTAGAGAAATAACGGACACCAAAAGATAGAGGACTTATGCAAATGTTATGAGGCAGCAGTAGCAGGATATACACGCAAGTTGCCTTCTTCTAAAAGGCCTACTAAGTTTAGATCGAGGAACAAAAACCAACCACCACTTACCCAGGCATACCCGGTTTCATGGAGTACATGTTACTCCCCAAAGCTGAAAACCAGAAAATTTGAGAGCCGTCAATAATCATATTATTGTCTTCTCCAGACATTTTAGGCTTAAATTACTCTCTCCAGTCTCTGCCGCATATGTTTGAAATTTCTCTTTTAAAGTTTCAACAGACACCTCAAATCTTGCTGTTGAAATGCAAAGGACCTTCTTCCTGCCTAAATGAAATTTCGGAAAGTGTTCAGAATTTTCATCTTTCTCTGTTAAGTATTCTGAGCTTTCCAGTTTCATTTAATAAACACCCTGTTTATTTCGGGAAGATTTTAGCGAGGAAAGGGGATTCTGTAACTGGAGGAGACAGAACGTGTGCCATCTCTGAACCTGTTTTATACTAAGTGTTTTATGAAACTCAAAATTCTTGGAGGCCAGATGCAGACCTCTTCCTTTTTCCGCACTTGGGTCGTATAGAAAAACAGGTGCTGAAAGTGTTACCTAGGGCTTTGGCCATATTCAAGGAAAGTATGAACCAACATGAGATGAACTCACGGTCACTCATATTTGGGAAGGCCATGTTTTTCTTTCCAGCTGGCTCCTCCCCTGACAGCTCATCCAGGGGTCTCTTGAGACCCAGCGACACCGACGGGTCACCTGCTTGGCCAGCAGGCAACGTCGACCCTCCAATTTTGGCTGCAATCTGAAGCAAAATAGAAAACTTGTGAATTTTTGTTCTTGTGTGTACCATTTATCATGCTCGTTTTCAACGTGGAATCAAGTCAGTGTGTGGTCTCAAGGAACTGGTGAGCACACTAGCCAGTGTCAGGTTCAAGTCCAGCTGCATGACTGGGAGTATTTTTACTCCTCCAGGAAAGTTTTGTTTCAAATTTAATCATGCATGTCATTGCTGGATATTTCACTCTTTTTGTCACCCAATGTGGCTCGAGTTCCTTGGGAAAAATGGGCATTATATCGGAAATTGAACAATATGTACCAGTAAGTGTAAATCCAATTATGCAAATACATGTATGTACCAAAAGAACTATGGGGATCGTCATTAGAGGTAGTGAATATGAACAGCAATGTAAGCATGGACCAGCAGTGATGGAAATGCGATACATTTTGTGCCAAAAGCGAGACAAACATGAAACTAATGTGCAATTTTTGTGAATGGAAATTTCTTTTAAAATCACGCGTAACAACGGCCACACAACCTGCCCCAGCCGGCCATAACCACAGTGCACACGGCATATTCGCGGCATGGATCGGAAACCGACCCAGCGCCCTGCTTGGAGCTGGAGCGCTAGCGGCTTCACAGCAAAAATGAAATGTTTGACAAAACAAACTCGCCCCCAGTTTCTTGTCCTAGTTTCAAGCAGCACGAGGCCAACGGATTGCGGGGGAAATGAGGTTACTGTGATTTGGTGGGATTATACAGCATGTGTAGTTCAGTACAGTACGGTACCGAGTGCACACACATACTTTCAATGCGCGATAAGTGACGCCTTGGTACATACTCCCCAAGCGCGATACCAGCTTTGCACGTACATACATGTAAGCAAGTGTTAACTTCTGTCATCCCGTGGTGATCAATGTGCAACAAAAATGCCAAAAGCACCGTCCAAATGTACCGCTGAAAAATGGCAGAAAGATAAATGTATGCCTTGGCTGAAACAAGAGAATCAGTCGGAAGACAATGTCCTTTACTGTGAGCAATGTAGTTTGCAAGAGGCCAAAATCAAAGCCGTTCGAAATTCTGCAGAACCCTCGTCAGATTCCAGTGAAAGCACCGACTCTGACAGTGATTTTGATCAGTAAAATTTGCAGTGATGTACATGCACATGTATCTCATTTTCCTTTTCTGGTTAAATATTTGACTTATGTGTAAGTCACCAACTGTTCTAGGTCAAATGTAGAACATCTCACAAGCTAAAATGGTGTCCGATAGGTGTTTCTCTACCTTGAAAGATAGCGGCTTGGTGGTGATAGTCTAGGAATTGGGCACAAAGCCTGCTTCTTATGTTTAACAAAAGTCTGATCCACTTCAAGATGACCCTTTTGCACAGCACTTGGAGAGTTTTCATTGGGATGGATATTTTAGGAGGTCTGATATCCGGATGGACTGTGCAGGAAACGTGGCTTCGGTACAACTTGTGATGTCATAAATGTATATATCTAACCATAATGAACTATACAAGTACATGAAACTTGAGCTACCGGTCTCTTGAGCTAGTATTGGCCAAGATGAAAGGGCAACAGAAATTGAAAGCATTTAGTTCAATAAATACAAAGTTCCCTGACCACAGATTTCCCAGATATCTCTATACATAATCTTAACGAGAGTAGTCGGAATTATCCGGACTGGTATCCAAAGCAACATAAACGTTCATTACGCAAGTACGCTACGTCTGTTTAATCACGTGACGTAAGGCCTTTAAAGAATGTACATGTGTGCGGATCGTCGAGGGATGAGAGGTGAGGATGGTTAAAAAAAAACACACACAATAATATAGCTTAAATTCTACAAAATACACAAGAACCTGGATGTTCGATATAGGTAGAGGTTCATTAAGGGGTAGACTAGCTCCAGAAAGTGCAAACGGAGGTTTTCTCAGGTACAACTACCTGACCATGGCAAAGCACTTTTCAAACCCCCATAGCATTACGACACCATGTAAACCAAGTGTGCTCAAAGTCACATGGAGTAGTGACTTTGAGTTCTCGAAGTAAGGCCAAGGATACAGAGCATGCAGAGGGGTCCAGTAGACAGGTCCCCAGTCTGGGGCTAGGTGAAACCTGGTTAAAGTAATAACATTGGAGCAGGGCAAAGTGGAATTGGGCCAAGGTGGGGATATGGCAAAGTGGCAATGGGCGAAATGGGAATGGGGCTATGTGGCTAATTGGGGCAAAGCCGTCGCGTCATAGGACTGGAC